GGTAGAGGTGGCAGAGGTAATAAATGATTGAATTTGGAGCATATTTAAATTTGATTGGATTAAACTTGGGGAGTGAGAGATAAAGGAATTAATCCTGATTCCTAAAGTTTGGGCACAACAGCCAGAATGGGCAATGCTTTAACTGAGATGAGGGAGACAGGCAGGGGGAAGAACAGGCTTAGAGATGAATATCAAGAGTTCAGTTTTATTTATTTTATTTTTTATTTATACAAGTGCTGGGGTACAGGCCAGATGCACGGGAGGGTGAGAGGATTCACCAAAGACAGAGTGGGGAACAGAACAGGCAGACTGACTTAAATCCACTGCTGAGGGGAGCAGCAGGCGAGACAGGAGAGGTCTGTCGCGCCATGTGGGATTCTCTCCGCCAGCCGGGATCAAACCCATGCTGCAGAGGCTGCAAACAGCTTCACAGTGCGGCGCTCAACCACCTGCGCCACCAGGGAGGTCCAAGAGTTCAGTTTTAAACTGGGAAGCTGCAACTTTAAGTGAAAGAACATGTAATGAAAGCAGATCCTCTAATAAAATTACCTGTGTCAACATTGGCCAGGATTGTGTTTTCTCATAATGCTATAAGGAAATGAGGTTATTCAAGGACCTACTGTGTATCAACAGCCATGGCACCAGAAAAATAAGAAATGGGTATGAAAGGAGCAAGAAACTTGAAGGCTGACTCTTGGGACTCACCAAACTTTGTCAGGAAGAGGAGGGAGACTGAGAATGTAATGGCCCCGAGGCCAGGGAGAAATCAAGTTGAGAGAATCACAGGGAGTGAGGGCCGTTATGTCAAATGTTGCTGCATATGTTACTGGATATTACTAACGTGATTGGTTGTTCAGTAATTTACCCCAGTTTAAGCCTTTCAATGTATTACTTTCATATAGTTGGGGATTTTTCATACTATAATGTCTTACGTAATAGGAAGTCTGAGAGCTCTGTGCATATACTTATTTTGCATTGTAAATCAACTCTCTTTTCCTTTTAATTTAGGGGACCTCACTAAGCAGCTTCCTATCATGGTGGTGGGGGAGCACAAGGACAAAGTGATTCAGTGCCGGTGGCACACCCAGGACCTGTCCTTCCTGTCATCCTCTGCAGACAGAACTGTAACCCTGTGGACTTACAGTGGATAGAGTACATGCACTGTCTGTCTATGCAGTGAAAGCAGAGAGACTTACAGACTACTGAGTTGTGAAAGTTACCCATTTGAAGAACATAGACTGACCAAGAAAATGGCTTAGCAGGAGGAGGCCCCTTATTCCCATGTATCCCTTTGATAGGAGGTGTTGGGTGGTGTTATTCTGCAGTGCTTCCAGTCTTCCTGTGAGCTCGTGCTGCTGTGACCTGCTATGTGTAGTCTTGTTGCCAAAGTCCACAGAAGAGCTCGTATGTTGTCAGTGTGCACTCCAAAGTCAAGGTGGACGATGTGTTTACGGTTTAGTATTAAATGCATTCCTTGGTCTTTGCCTAAATAACAGTTTTGTATACACATTGAGATTGAACTCTAAGCATATTATTACAATGTAATGCAGCCAAGTTCTACCCAGATTAGACATAGGTGTTCAGAAATTACTTTTGCTTTTCTCACAATCCCATGATAGTGTATCACTTGTCAGCTAGAGGTCAGAATTTTATATATCTCTCAAAAGTTACATGGTTGTTTTTACTAAGGATCATTATGGAGTTAAAGGTGAATGGAAAACTGCTTCTTAGTTCATTATGTGATACAGGCCTTTTCTTTTTTCTGAAAACCAGGGATATAGTTACTATTTTGTCCATTTTTTTGTTTCAGGGTTAAAAGGTAAATGTGTTTGCTTCAGAAATTTGTTAATTTCAATTTTTTGAATGCAACAAGATACCTCCCTTCTGAACTGTACTGTAGTAGCGGAGCCGCAGCCTTGTTATGTGATGCAACACTTGATGGTACAGTAAACTTTCTGGCTAGCATTTTTCCTCTTAAAATGAAAAACTTTACTATAGACTATAGCATGGCTTGAAATGCTATGTCTGCATGATAATTAAAAATGAAAAATTTAAACTTTGCACTCCAAAAGCTTATTTGGATTTTTTTCTTGCACTGTTTTATGTAATGCAGAATAATAATTTTATTTCTATGGCATTGTAGATCCTAACATTTATGTATCTTATTTTCATATTGTACAGTAATTTTACTTTAAATTATTAAATAGGCTATTTTATTTATTTCAAATGCAGTTGAGTTGGTTTCTAATTTTTGAAATGTCTGTGCACTGTATGTAGCAAGCATTTTTAATCTATTGTATACAAGTGGAAAGGGTATTAGAAGTGTAACTGTGCTATTATTTCAATAAAGACCTCTAGACACCTATAACTTCCTGTTCCTAAGTATCTGTGGCTTACTTTAGAGTGTTTTTGCTTTTGTTTTCAGTTTAGTTGGAGGTGTTGTGGTCCAGTGGGTGAAACCCACAGTCAATTTATGTTTCTTTCTAAAGTTCTTCCAGTAACTTATTTTTTTAATTTATTTATGCATACAAGAACTGGGGTACAGACCAGAGGTGTGGGGGGTGAGAGGATTTACCAGAGACAGTGGGGAACAGAACAGGCAGATCGACTGAAATACACTGCTGAGGGGGACAGCGGGTGAGTCAGAAGAGGTCTGCTGCACCATGTGGGATGCTCCCTGGCTGGCCAGGGATCGAACTCATGCTGCAGTAGCTGCGGATAGCTTTATAGCTTGTGTCTTAACCCCCTGCACCACCAGGGAGGCCCTAACTTATTTTTTAACCTTGGCAGAGGCATAACTTTTGTGTGTCTCTTCTATCTTTTTCATTCACAATCTAGAGCCTTCCATTGTAAATATGTTGTCAAAGTTGATTCATGAAAACCTGACAAAATTATAAATTCTAACTTAAATTACAAATATGTTAAATTGAGAGCTTTAGGGGAAAAAGAAATCTAATTAACTTGTGGATATTTAAGAGGTAGATAGTTTTTCTACCTATCAGTCATGTAGAAGTCTCTTCTCAGTTTACTCTCATGCTTAGTTTCACACATCTTGAACGTGAAAACAGGTCATTAGTATTAACTTTAAAACTGGGAAAAGGGTAATTTCTTGTTATAAATCAGCTCAACTTCATAGTGAAAATGTTCGTGAAATTATGTATTTCACCTTCACTATGGGAGAAAACTTCAAGATCGTCCTAGGTATGGGATATGAATCCATTTTGCAGTGCATCAGATAGTAAGCATCGCTTATACATGTCCTTCTCCCCAAACCTCCACACGGTCTTCTGCATGGAATTGAATAAATACTTTGAGGTTGATGAGAAATTAGAAAACTGAAGTATTTCTAAATTCTTTGAACCTCACTCTATTAGGGTCCAGGGAAGGACTGTGGGTGCAAAGGTCCTTAACTCTTCTCCAGCTGAAGTTGCAGAGGTCTGATTAAAAAAAGATTTTTAAGTATTTTCTAGAGCTTGTAATAAGCCAAATCACACAACAAAGTGAAAACGCAACCTGTGAAATGGGGGCAAATACTTGCTGATCATATTTATGATAAAGAATTAATAGGCAGAATATATAGAGATTCAAACTGATTTTAAAATGGGCAAAGGACTTGAATAACCATTTCTATAAGGAAGATAGACAAGTGACCAATTAGCACTTAAAAAAAAAGTTCAACATCACTAATCAGGCAACTGCAAACCAAAACCACAATGAGATACCACTTTTTAGGATGCTACTATCAGAACAAAATAACATGTGTTGGCAAGTGTGTGGTGACAGTGGAACTCACACACTGATGGTGGCAATGTAAAATGGTGTGGCCATGGTGGCAAACAGTATAGTGGTTCCTCAAAATTTTAAAAATAGAAGTGTTATATGACTCATCAATCCGACTTTTGGGTACATACCCAAAGTAAATGAAAGCAGGGTCTCATATTTGTACACTAATGTTTATTGCATTACTCACAGCCAAAAAGTGGATTCTGCCCAAGAGTCCAGCAAGAGATGAATGGATAAACTTTAGCACATAATACAGTGGACTATTTATTCAGCCTTGAAAAGAAAATCTGACATTACAATATGAAGTTATGTTAAGTGAAATTATCAGAAAAAGACAACCACTGTATGATTCCACTTATGTGAGTTAGGTAGACCAATTCATAGAGAAATTAAGTAGAATAGTGGCTGCCAGGAGCTGGAGACAGGAGGGAACATGAGATAAATCAAATTTCAGTTTTGCTGGATGAACAAAGTCATGGAGATGGACATTGGTGATGACTACGTCCATGTACTTAATGATACAGAACTGCAACTCAAACATGGTTAAAGATGGAAAATTTTATGCAATGTGTATTTTAATTTTTTTAAATTGTAATAACATACACACTCAAGTGTACCATGTCCTAACCAAATTTTAACACACGTTTAAATTTGTTGTCAATAATTTATGGTGTACACATTTCTCACTTCCTCCTAGCGTGTAAAACTCGTCATTTCAATTCTTTGGAGTTCCCTGAGAGTCTGAAGACAAAACAACACTTCATGGTGTTTGAATTCCTCTACCCTCTCCACACCCCATTAGGGCTGTGGGCATTTATCATGCCCCATCTAAAAAAAATCATGCTCAAAGCAGATTTCCAGCTTTGATTACCAATGTTACATGTTCAAATTTATAAAGTCATCAATATTAAGACAAAACGCTTTGTATCCGCTTCATACACCTGACTTACACGCAAGCCTCCCCTGCAGAAGCGCCCTGCGGACAAAGTTAAAAACCCCAAAAGCCCCAACCTGAAACCCGCCCACAGAGTCAGGCTCCGCCCCCTCGGCGGGACCAATCAGCTGCGCGCCTGGGAAGGCCGCCCTGCCGCTGGCCGAGCAAGTCGATAGCCAGAAGCGCGCGTCCCGGCGCCCTCCTCAGCGGGGCCAATCACCTGCGCTCCAGGGAAGGCCGCCCAGCCGCTGGCCGAGCGAGTCGATAGCCTGACGCCCGCATCCCGGCGCCCGCTGCGTCGCCCTGGAAGGACCTCGCCATCTTCCCGCGTCGGCGGTGGCCGGTGAGCGGCTTCCGGGACCCACAGGTGCGCTGCGGGGAAGGTGAGTCCGCGCGTCGGGTGTGTTTGTGAGGCGGCAGGGCTGCGGTTCGGCCCCGCCGGTCTCGCGGGCCCTGCGGGGCCGGGCTTATCCGCGCCCCCGCCGGTAGCCGCGGCCTGCGGGGCACTTGGGGGACTTGGAAACGAGGTGGGCGAGCCGGCTGCCCCCCGCCCCGCGCGCGGCTGCTCCTTGGGGCTACTGGGGCGCCCCGCGGTTCCGAGCGTCCTGGGCGAAGGGACAAGCCGGTGCAGAGCCAGCCCCGAGCGAGCTGGCCCTGCTGACTTCGGTGGCCTCTGGACGCCGTGAGCTTGATTTGAGCAAGTGTCGTCAGCAGAGCAGCTCGTATTGGGTAGCCGGTGTTTTAATACTCCAGATCAGGTTTGAGTGCATGAGAGTTAAGAGATGCCAGAAAAGCCTGTGCATGTACGAGCGGGTGGGGAAAACAATTCCGATGTCTCGCAGGCAGCGGCGGTCAGTGGCTCCCCCAAGTTGGCTTCGTTATCTTCATTGTCGTCGTGGTCTGGGCCCCTGGTGGAAATGCGCCCCGTCAAGTTTGAGAGACGGAGCCTCGGAAAACCGCCCCTGCGCGGGCGACTCGCGGACACACCCCTGGCTTCATTGTCATGCGAAGTTCTAGGTGAATGAGTGTTTGACCTACATCCGACTTAGTCTTTTTTTTTTTTTTTAAAGATTTATTTATGCATACAAGAGCTGCGGTGCAGGCCATAGGTGTGGGGGTGACAGGGTTCACCAGAGACAGAGTGGGGAGCAGAACAGACAGAGTGAAATACACTGCTGAGGGGTGTAGCTGGCAGGACAGGAGAGGTCTGCTGCACCATGTGGGTTACTCCCTGGCCCTCCGGGGATCAAACTCATGCTGCAGTGGCTGCTTCATAGGTTGGTCTTAACCCCTTGCGCCACCAGGGAGGCCCCCGACTTAGTCTTGTCTTTCTCATTACACATGTGAATTCATTGAAACCGGGTAGTTTTCTTTTGTGCCCATTTCCATTCAGTAGCTAGCAATGTCCTTGGACATCCCAATCTTTCCAGGGAGCTCCCCTCTTCTAGTAGCTCCCCCGACACCTGCTCTCCTTGTTTCTCCTGTGTAGAGAGGAGTAGTTTCTCCTGGTCACCCTTTCCTCTGAATAGCCCTGTAGGGACACTAGCACCTGGCCAGGCAGAGGTAGTTAGGAAGAGCCAGCTGGCTTCTCCCTCTTACTAGCCAAGTGCCCTCAGGTAAGTTAATCTGTTTTCCTTGTCTGTAAAAAGGTAACAGTAGTACTATTCCCAGGGATTAACTGAAGGGAAGCCCGGCTATAATCAAATACTAGGTACTATTTTTATATATATATTACTATCTATATAGTAATTTTGATACTAGAGTCAAAGCCTAAAAAAAAGATTTTACAAGTAGAAACTGGGGGAGACTTTTAGACGTAGTAGAATCCAGGTGCCATTTATTAAACTAATCAACTCCTTAACACTTGCTCCTGGAGTGTCCTCTGTGGCTTAACACCTGTATCCTCACAAGGCGCTTGTTAGAAATGCAGAATCTCAAGCCCACCTCAAACTTGACCTGTTTTTCAACAAGATCCCCAACAGGTGTAGGTGTGTAGCTCTCTGAAGTGAGATCAGTGGTGAGGTTTCTAAAGTACCAGTCTTTAATCAGTGACCATGGGGATTTAGAAAGAGGATTTGAATTTGTAGCTGATTCCACTATTCTACCTTGCCTCCTGGTCTTCCATCACTCCTGTGTTGCTAAGCACTAGCCACGAGGAAAGCTCTAGGTCAGTGTTGAAGAAAGTAACTGTTGTCTGTGTGTCTGGTAAGTGAATTGGTGAGGCTTTGTGTGCCACTACCCTCTGTGGCAGTCACCTGAAGTTAATGCAGGGAGCGGCTTGGGAGTGTGGGGGTGGGCAGGCCTGCCTGATTGTGGGCACCTGGTGCATGGGTGCGGGCATGCGGAAGTGCGCACACCTGAGTCTAGAGGTCAGGGCTGTGAGGCAGCATCTCATGGGGGGAGGGGATAATGGAGGGGAGTAGATGTGAACCCAAAGAATGAGTAAAGATTCGTGGGGGGCCGGGAGGCTTGGTTGCCTGCTCCCTCCCAGCTCCTGCCACTGCCCAGCCCCTGCCAACCTCTGCCTACCTCCCAGCCTCCCTGCTTGCTGGCTTGTCACAACACTGTGGCATGACTTTCTGAGCGTCTCAGTCAAAACTCGGTGCAGTATTGTGGTTTATGAAAAATGTGTATGTTTAATATATTGGTCTTCATCCAGTTCCGGCCTCATTTTCCCAAACCTTGGAATTTCTTAACTGTTGAAAGTGATAAAGGTGGCTCTTGTTATGTTACTGGGCTAACTCTGGGGGAGGATCTGTGTCCCTGTGTTACCAGGAGAACCAGCCATGTGGCTGGAGATTGGCACTTCCAGTCCCATCACCTGATTTCCTAGGTAGGGAGTGCAGCCCGAGGTTGAGTTCAGTTGCCGCTGGCCAAGGGATTTACTCAGTCATGCCTGTGTAGTGAAGCCTCTATAAAAACCCAAAAGGAGGGACTTCGGGGAGCTTTTGGGTTGGTGAATGCTGGAGATTTGGGGAGAATGATGTACCAACAGAGGCATGGAAGCTCCATGCCCTTTCTGTATGCCTTGCCCTGCGCATCTCTACCAACTGGCTGTTGCTGAATAACATCCTTTGTAATAAATTGGTGACCTGGCCAGTAAAAGGATTTGGTGGTTCTGTGAGCTGTTTTAGCAAATTAATTGAACCTGAGGAGAGGATGCCGTGGTTTACAGCTGCTGTCTGATGTGAAGGACGGTCTTAGTAGACTGAGCCCTTCCCCTCTGGAATCTGGTGCTCTCTGGGTGGTGTCCCAATTCAGCTGAATCCTGACCCCCTGCTGGTGCTGGCGCGATTGCTCTTGGGAAGTCTACACACGCTTATTCTGGAACTGAGTGCAGGAGCGCTATTCAAGAAATTCCAACTGGAAACAAAGTGAAAAGTTCGGCGCAGTAAAGAAAAGGAGAGCCAGGCTAAATTTCTCAAAGGATGGGAAAATTTATTGCGCCCCGGGTGGACCTCACGGCCCCAAGGTGGGGGTCAGTGAAGCTGCGCCCGTTGTGGGGAGATGTCCCTTTTATAGGGTGAGGAGAGTTTAGGCAGGAAAACTGGGTTGGGGGGGGCGGACAGGATTAGGCGGAAAAAAGTTGTTTTTCATGGAGCCGAGTTGTTTTTCTCCTGTTTATGGCTTCAGTTTCGATGTGATGGTATTGTTAGGGGGAAAGGATGTCCTGAGCTAATCCCACGCAGGCTTTGTGGACTCCACCCCCACTCCAGACTAAAGCCATCAAGACACTGGGAAAGACAAATCCCTTCACCACCAAAGGGAAGGTGGCTGGGACCTGAGGGTGGAGTTAAGCAGCCAGGTTGGGTATAAAAACCAAACATGTGGGCCTTGGGGGGCTCGCTGTCGCTCGCCTCCAGGCTTCACGACTCCTGGCTTGCAGCCAGCTCTCAGAGCGCCATTTGGGACTCCAGATCGGCGGATCAGGTAGGACTCATTTAAAACTTTGTCTCCCACTTTTCTCCCAGAGCTGTACATTTCCTCATTTCCCCTTCCCTTGTAAATAAACCTTTTATGAACCTTTCGCGTGCGCCTGCAGTGGAGCATTGATAAGTCCTTTTAAGCGCGCGGGTGAGGACCCACAGTCAGGCACCCCGTTTTGTATCGGGGCTGCTCTGTAATAGTATCAGTGGTACTGGTGTCAGGGCCATCTTGTCTTTTTCTATGTGGACTTCCTCATTCCTGGCCCCTGCATGGATCTTTCACAAAGACCAGGACCTTACCCTTTATAATGTTGCAGGAACCCTCTACAGATGTCTGGAATTCTGCCCTGTGCATTTTTCTTCTACTTTGGTACTCTGTTCTGTGCAGGCCTTCCCGGCTCTGCCTGGCTTTCCCCTGCTTGTTCCCATGGCTTGGAAGCTGTCTCCAGGAGGTAGGACAGGGCATGGAAGGACTGTCCATGATTGTTTCCATCTTCCTAAGATTTATTTTATTTATATAAGAGCTGGGGAGTGAGAGGAGTCACCAGAGACAGAGTGGGGAACAGAACAGGCAGACTGACTGAAATACACTGCTGAGGGGAGCAGCGGGCAAGACAGGAGAGGTCTGCCGCGCCATGTGGGACCCTCGCTGGCAGGCCGGGATCGAACTGGCACTGCAGAGGCTGCCGACAGCTTCACAGTGCTGCGCTCTGTTGCGCTGGGCAATACCACACTGATAAAGAAACAGGAGTCGTGGAGCAGGCTACATAATGCAGGGTGCTGCTGAAGAGCAAGATCCTGGCTTTTTTATTGATTCACAGCATCGGTTGTAATGGAGAGGAGCAAAAGGAAAGGGGAAGGAGATTAAGGAGAAGGAGATTAAAGAAAGGGGAAGAATGTAGAAGATCAGGGATTGTGAGTCTGCCCTCCAGGCACTTCTCACCTGCTTGATGACTGGTATTGTCATTGTGACCAAGCCCTAATCCCCCCACCCTGGTTTTAATCTTATCTACAAGGCTTTCCACTCCTCAGCTTTCAGTGGTCCCTTGTACATCTCTCCCCAGCTCTCCTCTCGTGCTCCCCCCCCCCCCAATACTTCGTGATGCATAGCCTTCCCAGTGTGATCCAGCTTTGTGCTCTTGTAGGACACCTTGCAGGCTTGGGCTCCTGTGCCTACCTGACCAAGCCATTTTGACCTTGCTTAGGATTTAGAACTATAGGTGACAAAATGGTGGCTGAACAGGCCACTTAGGAGTAGCAGACCTACAGTGTTCAACCACCTGCGCCACCAGGGAGGCCCCTGTTTCCATCTTTCAGACTATTGTTCTTTCTTACCCGGGTAAGAAACAGTTATTCCATGCAGAGGGTGAATCTGGCCCCTGTTACTCCATGTTGGCTGGACTGTTGGAATTACTGTACCATCTACCTGAGTTTTCCTTTATTCCTGTCAGGCTGCT